TTAATATTTGTATTAAAGAATACTTGAACCAGAAAATAAGGCAGCTTCTTACCCATGTTCTGCCTGTTGTAAATATGACCTAGATCCAACTAACAAGGTCCACAGCACAATAAGAACGGCAGTTCTGCATCGAGGGGAAGGGTCTCTCAAAAGACAAGTGATGAGTGTCCGAGTGTTTGTTGCTTGTAAGCCATCAGGCAGGAGGCTCCACCAATATCCGCACATGACTCGCCTGTCAGTTACCTGAGATATACCATAGGATCATGATAATTAGTATAAACAGACACCTCTCCTGACACTCACAGCACATGTTATTATTAAGACTTTCATTTACATACCTTGATTAGTGCAAGCAAAAGTTGCAAGGAAGCTTGGCGGATTCGGGCGTGATGCGAGCGTAGTCGGGATCCTGGTGCCTCAGAATCAGAATAATCAGAATCACTAGTTCTCCAAGAGCAATCAAGCCCAGTTGATCCATATGGCCATGATACATCTGAGTGGGGAATCTGAGGTGGCAAGGATGGAGCCATATGGGGACCGTCATCATCATCCTCATTTAAATCAGATTTCTTTTTAGCAGGTGTTGACCGTTTTCTGGGCGGCCTTGTGCGGCTTCCCTGAGAAGGATTGTTATTAGATTTATTCTCCTATATACAACTTTGTCGCATGCAACTACACTTACCACTCCTTTTATTGTTTTTGGACCCCGGGCCACTGGAGGTGGTACATCACAAATCGGTACAGCAGCTGGTAATACTCTAGATGGTTTTATGGCTTGATAAGAAGGTAAGCCAAACAACATAAAAGCCTTTGAAGTGCCTATTACATCTCCAACCAGGTCGCCCGTAGCAGATGATTGAACAACCACATTTTCAATTCCTCGTAAGGCAGGCAAAATAATCTAAACAAAGACAGGAAATGTGTGTGAAGAAGTCATTATTGGTAAGGATAGTTGACCATAGGAGTGGAAAGAAAGTCCTTTTTAACATACCTTACAGTGGTTACTTTCATGCTGATCTGGATGTTTGTCCATGTTGAGCTGGTTGCAAAATAATTTAAGACAGGTTTCTAGGTATTCTGCTTCTGAGGGAGTGCCATCAACGGGTGGAGCGCTTAATGCTTCAAGGCAATGAAGGGCTGCTAATTTGAGCTCCCATGGAGATGAAAGGCCACTGAACTCAAGTGTAGTATTCAGCAGAGGAGACAAAATGGCGAGAATTGCTTGGCTGTGCTATATTTAGAGATTGAAATATAATTTTGAATAATTGTTATCAATGATTACTATTATCTTACTGATCTGAAGTAATAAACTTTACCTCTTGGACCTTTGAGCCATTTCCTCTGATAAGAACTCCAAGGGCAGCCAAAACATCTTGAGAAGCAACACTTGGGCATTGTTTGAGGGCCTGAATGCACCATTGTATTGCAACTGTCAAAGTACGGCCTTCGACTCGAACCTATTAACATGAACGTCGCATGATTTAAAAGGGAGCACATAATATTAAAACTAGAAAAAAAAGCAACGTTCTTACTTCTTGTTTCTCCACAAGATTATTGATGAGGTGACAGCCTTTGGCAACCAGAAAAGTGTCATTTGAAGGAACAAGCGAACAACACTGGTTAATGATCAAAACAGCTTTCTGAAATTAAACACAAACATTTAAACCTTCTGCAGGAAATCTTTAGTGGCTACAGATACATGTGTTGACTAAAAACTGTCATGACACTCTTTGGATAGACATAAAAGTCAAAAGATACAGCACTTGGACTCGGATGGTAGTGCCGTCAACCAGTAAACACAGGGAACCACAACCTCGCTTAACAAAGTTACGTACATCGACATTCGTAACGACGGTCCGACTAAAGTCGAGGGCGTTCAAATCGTCGAGCAGTGCATTAACAATTTGCCTGTCTCCCTCACTACGACCATATACGAGGGACGAAAACTTTTGGGCAATTAATTGAAATTTAGAAGTGTTGTCATTTCCTACAGTTCTGCCGAGGGCAGCCATTGTTACATCATCAGGACGGCAGTCTGACAGCCCAAAAGAACTTGCAAAACGGCTGCAAAGACTCCGTCAACCTCGACGATGGAGATGTAAGGTCACAGGCACAGACGAAGTAAAAATCGGGCTCAATCAGCTTGAGCCGCCGTCACTATCATTTTGAACGACTTCGAGCCAGTTAACTTTAGCGAGAATTCGCACTTTGCGTCCGGGGTGTTGGCTCACCCCCTGCCTCACCGACCAATAGGAGCAGACGCTTCTTTTCTGCTGGCCGTGCCGTTTCTGCTATTTGTGTTTACCGTGGTGAAGGCTGAGGCAGGCCCAGCCTGCTCATGGATGAGACGGTTTCTCGTCCTCTTCGTCGCCGAGGTGGAAATGTGGCCGCGTACGTTGTCCCCTCGGGTGCGCGTTGAACCTCGCCCTGGTTGCCGCCGCGCTTCTTGAGAGCCTAACCGGGCCCCGGGCATGCAGAGTGTTTGTTGTGGATACCCCTAGCCCCCCAGTGAATAGCAGAAAGTGTCAAAATGGCGGATCTGGAGGCCGTCCTCGCGGACGTGAGCTACTTGATGGCGATGGAGAAGAGCAAGTGCACTCCGGCCGCAAGAGCAAGCAAGAAGATCATTCTCCCGGATCCGAGGTGAGTTTGGGCCCAGTTCGCCCGCCCTCCAGTCCCGACTCGGACCCTAACCCTACCTCCCTCCGTCCGACGGGGTCTGCAGGAGAGCAGGCCAGGGCTGCATCGCCAAGGCTGAGGACGGCCCCTGCAGGACCCCCTGTGACAATCAGCCTGAGGAGGGACAGGTGGGCAGCTGGAGCAGCTGAGGACGAGGTCGGGGTTAGTTTTGGGGATGGAAATTCAACCCCTTTGAACAGCTGGGGGTGGAACCAAGGCCCAGGACAGCCTCACAAAGACTGCCTTGTCCAGCAAGTGACAGTCTAGCAATTGGGTTATGGTACCATAAACACTGGAGTGTTTACAAGAGTCCTGGGGTGACAATCTTTGACCCTAATCATTTTTGTACGGCTTACTCTCTTTGGGTTGAATGGTACACTTAAACATTTCCATTACTGTAGGTTATTTATGAAACAGTTTGACATCTGTAGGTGGTCAAACCACAACACTACCAAGACACATTCATTACCTTGCCATTAGTTTTCTCTTTAACTGTGGTTTTTGCATGTGCATCACTCTTGTTATCCTTCGTGACATGTTTGTTTATTGTACGGGGAGTTGTTAAACAATAATTGGCGTGCCTTCTCATTTCATTCTGAATTGCATTCCCTGCCAACCCTTCAAGGCAAAATACACTTCCCACCCCTCTGCCTAGCTATTGCAGCATATTGTTTACTGGTCGCCAAATGACGAATCTTCAGCACATTTTTCTTTTCTTTTTTAGTCATTTTTTTAAATTTCTCCCTTCCAAACACCAATCATTTCGACGCCATCCCTAGAAAACGCACCCCTTGCGGTCGGCGCGGCGGCCGGAAGGACGACAAAGTGGCTCATTTGAGGCGTCATACGTCCACCACCGCAGTCCCCCGCGCACGGCGCGCACACAGCGCTCCTCCGCTGGTGCTTCCCCCGCCGGCCGGCCGGGCCATGGGCCGGGGCCCCTGCGCACCCCGCGGTAGGCCGGCGGCGCGCGCGGGTGTGTCGTTGGGTTGCCTACCTGCCGGCGGTCAGGCGCTCGCTGCCTCGCGCCGGCCCACAGCGGCCTGCCGCCGCTGCCTCTTCGCAGCTGACAGCTGGCCGCCGCGGCAGATGGGTCGACTGACTCTGGCTGACTGACTGACACTACTGACTACTGGCTGACACTGACGTCACGCGGGTGCGGCCTCAAAGAAGCAGGAAACTGTGCGGCAGTATGCGGCCGATGGTGCGACGCTCTGTGTTGCTTATTGTGGCAGAGTACGGATGGAATAGGCGTCGCGACGCCCGGGCCCCGCGGGCCTTGCGGTTGTTGAACGCCTCCTTGCGGCCGGGCCGAGTGCGACTGCTGCCATTGCTCTGCCCCCCCCCCCCCCCCGGGTGGTTCGGCGAGTTGTTCGACTGTTGTTATTTTTAGAC